ATGGCTCATTTCTACAAGACTTAGGGAAAGATCTAATACCAATAGTCTTCAAACTTTTTTTGGTACCTGGAACTGAACTCAGATCTTTGCATAGTCAGGCAGGCACTGTGCAGCTAAGCTCTACCCTCAACTCTCAAGCTCTTTAATGAAACTGAAAGGGAAAGAAGGCTTATCCTGATACCCAAACGAACACGTGTCCACTGAAAAATGAACTACAGCCTAGTCTCTCTAATGAACACACATGCAAAAATTCTCAAGAAGATAATGGATGTCACAATACCTATTGTACTCTTCGTGTTATTTACTCTTTCTGGTTCTCACTCTAGCGTGACATTATGTTTGTACATTCGGGTCTGATTTACTTCACTGACCAAAAGTCTCTTCTTGCATCCATTTATCTGTGATAGCCTTGAATTTATCTTTTTTTTTGAATTTATCTTTTTTATGGATGAGTAATACTTCATTGTGTAAAAATACCACATTTTTTATCCATTGCCCAGTTGATGGGCTTTTGGGTTGTTTCCAAGATGTTGCTGTGACCAATTGCACAGCTAGCAATGGAACGTCCATCTCTGACAAAACAAAACAAAAAGGGGGATACAAATAAAGGATCATTTTGTATTAAAAAGTACATATATGTATATACAAAGTAAGATAGATATGCAGCTCCTTTCTCTTAGTTCAATAAGAAGAAAAGTTTGTACTCATATTGTGTAGACAAGATATCATGTCTGCGTCTTTTCCTCTGAATAACTACTACAAAGACAATATGTGATGTATTATTTATTGTAACTGTCCTACTAACCTCCTTTGAAACTGTTTCATTGCTATTTTGTTTTCTCATTAAAATGAATATGTTTTTTAAAAAATTGCACTGCTATAAACATGGGTGCACATATATCACTTGGTATGATGATTTCAGTTCTTTTGGAAAAATATCTAGGAGGGGATAACTGGCTTGAGTGGGATCTCCAATCCCAGCTTTTTGAGGAGCCTGCACACTGATTTTCACAATCCTTTACCAGCCTGCACTCCCGCCAGCTGTGGAGAAGTCCTTTCTCCCACAGCCTCCTCGGCATTTGTTAATGACTGACTTCTCGATGGCGGCCGTTCTTTCTGGGGTGAGATGGAATCTCAGCGCTGTTTTAATTTGCATCTCTTGAACGACCAGTGACACTATACATTGTTTCATATGTTTATTTGTCATTTATATTTCTTCATTTGTGAAGTTATGTTCATTTCAGATGCCTAGTTATTGATCGAGTCTTTGTATTTTGGAGGCCTGAGTTTTAAAAATTGTTTACTTGCTCTAGGTAGCAGTCCTTTATCTGAGGGACAGTTGGCTATAAACTTCTCAAAGAGAGGAGGTCCTTTTTTTTTTTTTTTTTGTATGTTAGGTCTACAGGGTGTTCAGGGTCTCACTACTAGATCAGGCTCGTAGTAACCCGCCTGTTTACAGCCTCCCAAGAGCTGGGCTTACAGGTATGCGCCACCATGCCCATTCTCAATTGCCACCTCAGCATGCCCTGAGGGCAGGGCCTGCATGGCAGGCATGGGATCAAAACCCCAGCCCCTGCGCCCACTTGCAGGCACTTTAATCCACTGAGCTATTTGGCTAGCCCGGAGAGAAGATCTTAATTGTTGATTCTTTGAAGTATTTCATGTGCAGTTCAATTTTTGTTCATAAGCTATCTACTTACCCCCAGGTCTTGAATCTGTTCAGTGAGAAGGAAAATCTTGGATGAAGTAAAGGACCAAAAAAAAGATAGATATATATACATATGCTTGTTTACTAGAGTATTACAGGTGCTAAGTACAAATGTCATCGTGCTGTGATTTTTTATAGCTGCAGCAGTGCCAACAACATTCTCAACATTTTATCAACATGGAAATGTTCATAAAGTGAAATGCAAATTGCCCAAGTATCATGTTTTATTTGGTATGGGCACATCTATGTATCTACATATTTATTTATGTATCCACATTCTATGTCCACGCAAAACAAAGAAAAGGAATTTACTCTTGCTTATTGCCCCTGGTTCTCACTAGTACAGGAAAAAGAATTTAAAGCACTTTTTTCATTCTGTTGCAATCTACTGATAAGGAAAAGGTCTGGCCTTCAAGAAAAATAAAAGTCATGAAATGAAATATAAGCTTTGGTAGCATAAGTAATTTTATTTATTGGTATTACTTTTATAGTTTTTCCCATTTAATATGTAGTTAGCCAAGGTTTCCTTACATATATCCTTTATGTAGTTAATGCACTATCTTTCTGACAGGTTCTGGCCCTAGTATGGATTGCTGAATTATTATGGACATCATCGAATAGGGCTGAAGCTCTTAGAACAACAGCTTGTCCTCCCAGAGACAGTCTGCCCCCTTCTTCTCCAACCCAGCCGAAAGTGCAATTTCCTCTCCCCTTCTCACCACCACAGGGAAGATCCCAGTCAGCTCCTAGATACTTTTAACCATCTCCTTAATTCTGCCCCTAGCGGAAGTCCATAAAAGCCTCAGCTTCCTTTGTCTCCAGCCAGAAGATCTACCTGCCCCATCTGCCCTTGATCCTATTCATGCCTTTGGAGTTAATAAAGCTTCTTTCATCTTTCCTGTCTCTTTGCTGAGCTGCTGAAAAACCTATAACTTTCTGTATTTAGTCTGTAGAAGACTTTGATCAGGAAGGAATTTGGCATTTTATCAAATGCCCTTTCTCCATCTTTTGAGATGATCATGTGATCTTTATCCTTCATCTTATTTGTGCGATTTACTTCCTTGATATATTACTGCAGGGTGAATGACCCTTCTATCCCTGGCATAAAGCCAGTGTGATCGTGGTATACGATCTCATCGAACTGCTTTGGAACTTCATTTGCAAGTTCTTTGTCAAGCACTTTTGTAATTATGTCCATCAGGAATATTGGTAGATAGTTTTTTGTTATAGCTTTCATTTTCTTCTTGGGGTTTGCCTACTACCTGGTAATTATCTCAAAAGGAATTCCACAGTATTATGTTTTCAAATATATCCTAAGTGGCACGGGATGTAAGCTTGTAGTCTACCCCTACTGAGTGCCCTGTGTGATTACCCTGTAAACCACAGGCCTCATTCACTGCTTCCAAGCAATAGAAAGCACCCTAGCAATCCCCGGTGACTGAGGCGTAAATGCAAGCCATCTAGAACACTCAACACTTCTGCTCATCAGCCAACTTATGCATCTGCCTTTAAGTCATGATTGCCCTCACAGCGAGTGGCCACAACAGAAGTGCCACTAGAAACTGAGTGGTGGGCGCTGCACCAGTTGGTTTCCAGCACTATTCCAACTCTGTGTCACCTGCTTTGCTTAACCGATGTTCTGTGTTTGAATTCTGTCCCAGATATATTTTACTCATTTCTGTGACAAAATACTTGACACCCAAAATTAAGAAAGGAAAACTTTATTCAAATCACAGCTAGTGGAGGTTTCACTCCATACTCAGCTGGCTCCAAGGCAGAGTAATGTACTGCAGAGGGCAGCAGTTTGTGGTGGCAGAAATAGCAGAGCAAAGGGAAGAGACATGGCTGTGGCTTCTCGTAAGCCTCTCCCCCTCACTTCCACACTGAAGGACCACAGTTCTTCAAGGAACTGAAGCCCTTCCTCCCATGGTGTCTACAGACTACAGCTCCTCTGAGAAAGTGGTGAGCAGAATCCTTCCTCAACTCCCTTTTATATCTTCTTTGTGCAAAGTCACTGTAGGGCAGACCCTCCATGCTCTAGAGTGCAAAGCCTTCTGAGCCCATCCAGCCAAGCTTCCACCTCCTCAAATTGACAAAAGGTATCAAAAACCATAATCTGAGGGCTGGCCAAATAGTTCAGTGGATTAAAGCACCTGCAAGCAGGTGCAGGAGGCCAGGGTTCAATCCCCAGGCCTGCTGTGCTGGCCCCGCCCCGGGGCACACTGAGGTGCCAATTGAGACTGGTCGTCCTGTAATCCCAGTTCTTGGGAGGCTGCAAACATGTGGATCACTAGGAGTCTGATCTAGTAGTGAGACCCTGAACACCCTTTAGAACCTTCCATAAAATATTTTTTTTAAAAAAACATAATCTTACATCCTGGGTTTGTGGTAGCTGGGGCTAATGCACATCTTCCATCTGTATGCATGTTTTGCCCCTTCTGCCCCACTGTACCTATTAGCAGCAGTTGCAACAGTGCTCCAGGCCCTATTTTTCCACTGGAGCAAAGGGTAACTTGCTTTAGATCTGACAGAGGCTTTGAGGATCTCTCTCCTCTCCTCTCCTCTCCTCTCCTCTCCTC